GGGGGGGGGGTCTGAATTGAGCGATCAATTATTAGACCCGGACGTCCCAACACTTGCTTCGCAAGACAAACTCAAGGTATCCCCTAAAGGGCTACCTTTCGTGAACAGTTGGAAAGCGTGAAAACCTTTAACTTGGAAGGAACCTTGTCCAGCTTGCTGGTGATCTGAAGACCATGCTAAGGCCTGCTAAGGCTCTCGTGTGAAAGCTTAAGCCTTGTCAAGTCGAGCGTGCAACTCCTGGCTGAGTGAAGATCCACAGGGCGACAATGATTCTTCCGGGACAGGAACGCAGCTTATCCTTCCCAAGTTCCAACTGTACCTCCAAACAAAAGAACAGAAAAGGGAGCTGAAAAGGGGTTCCTTCCCGTTCCATCACACACACACACACAAAAACGTCCCCACACATCCCACTGAATCCCCCTCCAGCTCATCGCTTTTTCCCGCTCGCTGAAACCAACTCTCCTCTCCGGACTCGCTCATCGCACGAAGGTGCTGGCGCGCTTGGCCTGGGCCGGGGATCCACGTCGGCGGATCAGGCCGTGTCAAGCGGCTGCGCTTCGATATTAAGCAAGAATGAGAGTGTGAGAGTGAGAGAGAGTGAAAGACTTCTTCATACTTCTTCCATCTAGCACATGAAAAACGACAGAGCTTCGGAAGCTTTCGCAGTTGGTGTTTTCGCAGCCAGGGCCCCCTCCTTGAAGGTGGTGCGCAGCTTCTTGACAGCATGAGGAATCTTCCTGCGACACAAAGACTCCACAGTGCCGGGGGCTCAGCTTCTATATATCTATAAAGTATGTCTTATATAAAGTATGTCTTGCCGTAGAAATAGGCCACCTAAACTCGTTTAGATGGCCCAATGAAATCGGCCACAAGTGAGGACTTTCTCGTGGGTGCGCAGGACCTGTCCTGACGACGGGGAACTTGAGCCTGTCGCCATGCATCTCCTCCCAACTTGTGGATACAAAAGTGAGCAGACTTCTTTGACCAAGTGGTCTCGCCAAGTGAGCATCACTCCGATAGACACTGGCAACTCTCCCGTCCAAGACGTGATCGCGGCGGCACTTGTCATCCGGCACAGTGGTGGCCTTACGGTTCGTTAAAGGTCAAAAGAAGGTCAAGCAGTGAAGCACCTTTCGAAGAGAAACAACCAAAACAATCCAAAACAGGCTTTGATGTTAAGTCGAAGTGGAGTAAGTAGATGCATTTCGATCGACTTGTCGCCGTGTTGATCTGTGCTGAGCTTTCGCACGTGGATGATCTGAATGGAGCCGGGATCAGCGCGGTGGCGGCCGGCCATCTCCTGGTACCTGGACGATCATTGCCAAGAAACGCCTTTCTCTTCCATAAAACAATGTTCAAACTTGAGGCGTTGGTGGGTGTCCAATGGCCAACGCACTGAAAACATCAAACACCCGTTGACATGTGGCCCAAGAGAGGATTCAGCAGGCGCACAGCTGCCCAACAGCACCGTTGATGTTCACGTTGCGGTACTCCTAGCCAATATGAAAAGGTTGGTTTGCTGAGCGACACATCAAAGCGTGCAAAATGAGCCTGCCTTGTACATGTTGTGAGTGTTGGTGCGGCTGTCATAGCGCAGCCAAATGCCGTAGTTCTTCACCTGCCATGTGTCGAAAAGCAAAAGCCTCCATCTTGGATGGTCTGGTCCAGCCAGGGTTGTCACCTGATTGTCCAAATGCCAAAGGTTGGTGCCTGCCTTTGGTCAGTCAAATCTCCAGGCCAAAACGGCCACGCCTTATGAGCTGCCCACATTCTCCCACCGCAATTTCCCCCGTCACCCAGACCTTGGTGGGGCTAGTGTCATGGAGCTCGTTCACGGAAAGCAACTCGCCACCGCTCTTCTTGGCCTACCGGTCATCCAACGAGTGTCACCGGTCCTACAAGACATCCTTCTGCTGGGACGATCGCCCCACCTTGTTGAGCCTCTTCATGAAGTACCAAAAGCGGGACTTGGCGAGGACCACGTTGCGCGCAAAGATCCTGGTCGGAAACACGAAAAGTCACCTCTCTCTTTGTCTCTCCGGAGAAAAAATAGACAATTGCAAAAAAACACCACAAAGAAGTACACCCGGGGAATCACGACAACGCTTTGCCTCATTCGGTAGATCTTAGGAGTCGGGTTCTTGTTGGTGGGTGCTGCTCGCCCCACGATCTGGTACTGGTGCATCTTGGCCTCACAGCATTCATGTTTCACATCTCCAAGACTGGCGTCGCTCGCTGTGCGCGCTTGCGCATCCTTCGGACGAACGAACCTCCAAGGAAGGGTCGATCGAGAACTTTCCCTTCACCATGACCTGGCATTCCCAAAGGACCTAAGGACCCTGGTGATGTGTCATGAATTTCAGATGAACATCCATTGACTGGGGGTCTCAAACAAGTCACACGATTCACAACACTCACAAGCTCTGGCAGAAAAAGAATTTGTAGGGCAACTCTGCGCAAGGGAAGCTTCTGCAGGAGTTGGTCGCTTCTGGCGCCGTTGCAAATCGCGGGATGCCTTTGAGCCCAAACAGTTTGTAGTTCCAGCGATGCAATGATGCAACCCGAAAGGGCTTTTGGCAAGGGGTCACCTTTCTTGCGGGCACCCCGTTGCTTCCCCCTCAAAAAATGAACGTCATCTAGTGCCAAAGGGGAAAAGCCTTGTCTAATGTTCCGTGTTGCTTGGCTGGACTTTGCCTCTACAATAAGAATCCTTCTTGTTGCCTTATCCTATCCCGTCTACTTTCATTCTCAAATGATGACACGCACCGACAAATCCATCGCCTCGCTTCCAATGCAACTTTTCTTTGCGCCTGTCACCTTCTTCTCCAGGCTACGAACAACCTTCATCTGAAGCTTTTAGCTTAAGGTATCTCACACAATGTTGTCCAGCAGGATATCCTCCTGGCGTCAGTTTTTAAGATGCTTGAATCAATCGGTTCAAGCACTTGTGTTTCAATGAACAGTCCCAAGTCGGTGAGACACTCAGTTTCAGCCCCCAAAATCCACACTCAACAGGTGCTAGCCTGCCGTCCTCCCCCGCTCTCCTGTTTCGAAAGCCCTGGTGCTCCGCAGTCCGCCGGGCCGCACACGTCGTCCCCCAGGGCATCCTTGCAGCAGCTCCAGTCCTTGACGCAAAAAGCAGACACACCGTTCGCGGATATGAATCAAGAGCGGAGAAGAGAACTGGACGCTGGACAAGAGGTGCTTGTTCTGCTTTTGAGGTCTGCTCCGTTTCTTCTTTCCTTTTGCTTTTTGGACTTCCGCTGGAAAAGAATCGATCAGTCCTGGGCACAGCAGGCCTTTCCACAGCAGACCGCCTTTCCCACGCAGCAGGTTCCGTGGCAGCAGGTGCTTCCGCTTGGACAAGGGCTTCTACCCTCGCTTCCTCAGTCTCCGGATCAAAGAGTGTAGTTTGTTGTTTTCATCTTGAATGTCAGCTTTTGTCAAATGAATTGTCCAACAATGCTAGTAAGCACAAGTAGCAAGTATATAAGTATTCACAAAGTCTTTTCTGGAGCAGTTTTCCCACACATGGTGTCCTACCCGAAAAACAATGAATTTTGTGGGAACTCGGATCTTCACAGTCCCACAGATCATCCAAAAACCATGTACCTTGGATTCCTTGTATCGATCTTTCGCCTAGTCACCAATGCACGGTTCGAAGAGAGGCTCCTTGACATAGCCAGGACAGCACTTTGCCAGCTCCCCATCGGAACCAGGGCAGCAAGAGCCTGCGAGGCCTCAAAACCAACCCGTGTCTCACCGGTTGAGACGGCATTTTCCACACCAAAGCAGTCGGAGGAAAAAGCTTGACTCAGGCGACTCTAGGGCGGTTGGAAAGGCTGTGTTAAGTCACAAGTGAATCATACCTGAATTCTGACTACTAGGAGCAAGGACGCTACTGGGGGCTGCTGGCCTTACTACTAGGAGCAAGAACGCTACTAGGGGCTCCTGGAATCGCTACTAGGAGCAAGAACGCTACTAGGGTTTTCCCAAACAATTTCAACCTTGCTTGCGAGCCGCTGCAGCACGGATGCCACGTGCCCTCCAAGTCTGGGCAGCAGCCTCTGCGGCTTCTGAAAGATGCACCAAAGGGGAAATACCAATCGCGACCAAAAACGATCCTCGACCCTCAACGGCGTGATCATGTTCGACAACTCTTTGGTATATGTTCTATACAAACAACTGTTGCCCCAATTCTGTCAATCCTAGCTCGTAGTCCACCATGGTGTGCCTTTCAGTTCGCGAACGGGCACATGGATCGCACTATGCCTTGGCAAGGCAGACTCAGAAGAAACACTTCAAACAAAAGAAACAGGAATTCTCAAGTCTCTGGCGGACAGGCTTAAGGCTCTGCTCAAAGAGGCTCTTGATAAACACCCGTGTCTTCAATCCTGTCTAGGCCCATCTTCTTCTTTTCCCCCTCAGCCAAGCCGCTCTCTGAAGTCGTCCTGGCTTCTAACCAGCAGTACCAGCATTGGCAGCACCCATGTCCACATGACCAGCCACAGAAGCGCCCGTAGCTGTGATTTTGCTTGGTTTGTTGTACTCCAATGGTCCTCTTGTCATTGCCAAAGGCCGAAGTTTCTGCAGAACTAGGCTAGACGTGTATTGAATTGACAACAGGCTTCCCAGATTGGCTAGAATCAAACTCCTTCAACTGGCCTGATCATAAAAATATGTAAAAATGGTTGATTATGGTGCCAGGCTGTCTTGCCAAAGCCAGACTTCAATGGCTTTCACCACTGATCTGAGCACTGAAGAGAGCAGAAAGGCATTGATCGCCTGCGACCCCAAAACCTAAAAGCCGCGTCGAAGATACATCTTGGCTATATCTCAAGAAGGCAAAGAAATGGCACGTCCTTTTTCAATGACCTGGGTTCAAGCCTGAAGGCACACTGGCTGTACTCAGTTCTTCTTCGCCTGGCAGGACAGACACTTTCCTCAAGACAAGTTGCATGAAGGAGTCGTGCGGAAACCATCTTCAAAGTGAGCTGGGTTGAAACGAAAGGAAAGGACCGTCTGAGCTCACTTGAAGCGTGAACCAAAAAAGCTTATGAAACTCCCCACTAGGACACCCCCGGCGACTTTGCCTGCAAGTGATCCCACGACAACTCATACTTTAGGCTCCTAAATGACAGCTCGCTCAAAGCCTAAGGTGCTCTTGCCAAGTCTGGTTGACGAGCGGACGCACCAGCACGTGTTTATCCGTTGCGCATGAAGTCCCAATGCACAACCACGTGCATTATGTGGCTGAAAAGTTCACCTCAATCACATTTGTCATCACCTTCAGAAAAAAGAGAGTCCCTTATCTTAAAAGGCGCCTGTTCCACGACCAGAGGCTTCGACAGGCGATCAAGCTGGATCCTCAGCAAGCTGGATGGGGACCTTGAAAAAGTCGTAAACCTTAAGTGTCCATTTCGCATAGATCATCTTCTTGAAAGCTGAACAACCTGTGGAGGGTACTACGAGGCTCAATCTTAAGGTTCCTGCGAGAGAGCAGTCCGGTCCCGCCTGAGGGTTTGAAGAGAGAGAGAGAGAGAGCGGGTGCTCAAGCTGTGAATCCGTGCTGAGACTGATTTAAAAGATGGAATCATTGTGCTCCGCGATGTGTGTCCAAGTGCAAATGCATGCAAATACCAAACTTATGACTTTTATGACTCTTTCAAAAATATTTGGGAGATGGCGAGATGCCCTTCCATGCAAAGCTGGCAAGTTGGACTCACTTGACATTCCAATAAAACGGCATGTCCAATAAGATGGGGCAAATCTGCTCCATGTCGCAAGGTTTTCCCCGGCCTCTCGAGCGTGCCACGCCCGCCTTTCCCACGGCCCTTCGCTGCCTGGGATTTTTTCAGGTAATTCGAGTTTGACATACTTCCAAGTTAAACCAAGAACTATTGAGGCCATGTGTTTACCCATGTTTAAACTGTTTCTGTCAGGTTCCTTCAGGTCATTCCATCAAATATACTTCGAATCAGAAGAGAGGCAAGCTCCTTCCACTCTTGGTCGCACTTCGACGTAGCTCTAGATTGAAGTCTTGGAGATGGCTCCTAGAACCCAAAGATTTCTTAGGGTTTGTCTCTCTGGATTTCGGGAAACTTCATCGCCATCAAGCGTAGCGTGGCTCGGTCACTGCTTCAAAGCAACAGACTGGGTTCACAGCTCACCCAGAAATGTCCCAAAACCTTGGTCCCTTCAAAACTCCAGACCTACGCGGCGCCCGACAAAGACCAACGCCTGCTGAGACTTGGCGGTGGCCGCCGCCAGGGCACTGGAGGCCAAGCGAGACTGCTGAAGCCTTCGAATCGCCAATCAAAAGAAGGACTAGAGTGGTCCCAAGTGGTCTCCAAATAGATGGATGTGTTGTTTGTTGGAATTGATCGTCCAATTTCTGGAAAACAGAAATCCTGCAAAACCGGGATGAATAGGATTGACCGGGAAAAACCTTAAGACATAAACTGCTAGTGCCCCGCTTATTTTGTTGAAAACTCAGCACCACCATCAGGGAGGCATAAATACACGTCTCATCCCATATTGCCAATCCTGAAGCACAAGGCACAAGTGTGTATTCAAGTGTATTCCCTGGTTTAGTCTTGGACCTGTTCATGCTGGGCTTAACCTCAAGAACACTTAGTTGAGAAACTTGAATCAAAGCAACTGCAGCTGTGTTTACAGTGCGTGTTAAGTTTCAACCCTCCGAAGCCGTAACCCTCCAAAGCGGGTAGTAGGCATACATTGTTGGGGGGAGGGATTCGATGACCACGCTTTGGGGTCGGCGCGACTCGCTGAGTCTCGCACTCTGCGGGATCCGTCTGTGGACGGCGCCGCACGTCCCCGATGTCCTGAAGAAAACGGAAGACATGAGAGGTTTGACTAACGGATCTGGTGAGGTATTCAAAAATCAGAAATATATATATATATATATAGGCCAATTCTTGTTGATCGTGAGACGGGTTGAAAGAGAAAAAGGCATGGGAAACATGAGATTGGTCCTGATCAAATTCACCACCGGAAAGACCGTTTTGGCATGGAAATGGACACTTTCCTCTTTCACTTGTATCTCATGATGTTCACCGAACCCATCACCCCCAATGCTTCTGGAGATTCAGATCACAGAACATGGAGGCGCACGGAAACCACGAGCAAGACCAGAAAAGGTCAACGTCCTTCTTCGCAGAAGATGAGTCAACCTGCAAAGTCAGACGCACTGCCATGCTCTCTTCAACTTTTACAGTGGTAGAGCCTGTGTTCTGAAAACCAGATTCGATAGGTTGGACTATGATTGCAAGACAAAAAGGAACGTCTTGGGAAAAGGTCGATCCCAAATTCAAGGGCCCGGCCAGCCTTTCTGAGATGAATTCCAAACGCTACCCAACCCACAAGCCTTGAGGTGTCGCTGCCGACTCCACCACTGTCCATGGTGATGCCAAGCCCTGGGCATGCGATGGCCCAGCGTGGCCAAAAGCCGCTCCAGGTCGACAAGAAGTAACTGAAACACAGAGATTTCTCAAAGAAGTGAGC